CTCCTCCAGAGGTACCGAGCTCTTCGGGATAGGTGTCTAAAGATGGTCTTCCCTGTGAGTCAAAGGGGAAAAGGAGGGACCCTTAACGGGGACCCCTACCCTATAATGGGCTATATAATGGGTATATAATAGCTGTATCAAGGGTATATACCTAGGGGTCCTTATTAAGGGTCCCTCCTTTTACCCTTGGAGCGAGCCAAGGTATACAGACTCCCAGCTCAGAGAAAGCTCAACCAGAAACTCCTGAAATCTCCCCGATCACCCAAGCTGCACGCGCTTTTGGTATCTTTTCAAGCGAGAACCCCAGCCCTCGTATGTGTCCCTAACAAACCGCCCTAAGCCTTGATCCAAGTTTTCTTTAAGCTCTACCGACTCTTTGGGGACCTTGGGTGCAGGATTTCCCAAGCTTACCTAGACCCTGGAATGTAGTGCTTTTTTTGGGAAAGCTTGTTTCATGGTAAGGATCCTGCAGTAAGAAACTAAGTTAACCAAATCAATCCGACATTGTAGTACACTACACCCCAAAACCTACGCCCTAAACCCAATGAGGGTCTGGGTACGAATTTTGTTCCGCCTGCACAATCCTATGCACGCCCAGCCCCCTGGCCGCTCCTTGGCAGAAACCCTAAGCCCCAGAGTAAGCCCCAGAAATCCGGTTGGTGATATAAATCCTGCATCACCCATAGTCAGGAATATTTCTCCATAATTTCCATAGTTTCGGGTCCTTAAGGTAATGCAGGATTTCTATTATCAACAGTAGGGTTTAGGGTTTAGGGTAAATTTGGAAACCTGGTTAAGGCCAAATTATAGTGCTGGGACTCCTTACACCTTACTCTTGAGGATTAAGGCTATAGGGTTTCCAACTTTGGGGCTTCTACTTAAAGGATCTTGGGACTTTGTAACTGGGGGTATAAATAAGGCAACTATACTTATAAGCACTAAGAAGCCCGCTTAAGGTACTTATAACCTGACTTACTAAGTCCCATGATCCTCCAAGTACTGTAAACCCTACCCTAAACCCTAAACCCCTTTGACGGCTCCTTGGACAAAGTGTCAGTTCAAGCGGCAACACATAAGAAAGATCTGCAACAAGAAGGTTTTTTATCGTTGTCTGGGCTTTGTTTTCAACCCCTAAACCCTAAACCCGAAACCTGAAACCCCAAACCCTAAACCCTAAACTTCACCGCTTCAGCGCTCTCTCTTGGACAGGTTGATGACGAGCCAAGGTCTGCTGCGATCAACTCTACAAGCTCCTCAGCAGCTGAAGTAGTAGCGGTATAGGGGTTTAGGGTTTAGGGGTTTAGGGTTTAGGGCTTCAGGGGTTTAGGGTTTAGGGGTTTGGAGTTTAGGGTTTAGGGTTTTAGGGGTTTGGAGTTTAGGGGTTTAGGGGTTTAGGGTTTAGTATTTAGTAGGGTTTAGGGGTTTGGAGTTTAGGGTGTAGGGCTTGTACACTTTTTGGGAGCATCATATCCCCTGTACGACTGAAGGTGTAGATTTTGGGGGCTTGTGAACTGAGCAACTAAGGCTCGGGGTCACAGAGTAGCCCACAGCGTCTCCGCGAGATCAGTGGGGAGGAGTTGCCCGAAGACCAAAGCTGAGCGAATGTTCAGGGCATGTTTTTTGGAGTTTAAGGTTGAGTGGGCTTGGGGTTGTTTAGGGTTTAGGTTTGGGATTCAGGCTTTCATCATATATTAGTTTTGGATCCCTTGTCCGTAAAATTCCTGTCGTAAGTTACGGTCCAGAGGACCATAAACTGAAGCTTAGGTTTCTGTCTACGATTAATAACGGCTTTCGAGTTGCTATTGCACCTATCATCCATACAGCATAGACCTTGGCCCTAAAGTACCTATATAGGGACTAGCTTAAGGCCAATGTATATACATCCTGTACATGAACCCGTAGGCTAAGCCCATATACATGTGGGTGCACGGACCCTTAGGGTAAGCCCTATAACCCTAAACCCTAAGCCCTAAACCGTTAACCCTAAACCCTAAGCCCTAAACCCTAAATCCTAAACCCTAAACCCTAAACCCCAAGCCCTAAACCCTAAACCCTAAGCCCTAAACCCTAAACCCTAAACCCTAAGCCCTGAACCCTAAACCCTAAACCCTAAACCCTAAGCCCTAAACCCTAAACCCTAAGCCCGAAGCCCTAAACCCTAAACCCCCGAGCCTGAATCCCTCGAGCTTGCCCTGGCCCTTGAAGAGTCATGGAACCCAGAGGGTCCATAAATGCTAGCATTATGGAATTAGGTCCCAAAGGACCATCCCTATTATGGCTTTGGGGGCCTCATTCCATAATGGTAGTATATATGGACCCTCTAGGGAATATTCGGATCCAATAATTTGACGAGGCTGCCAAATCAAAAAATACAGTGCTAATATTGCTACTTGTCACAACAACAATAAGCAACACGATAGAACAACAATAACAAGAGAATCTTGGATTTATTGTGAAATGTTTGATGATACAGTCAACCGCCCTCAAAGTAGGCTCGTCATGGGTTTTCTCACGAGGTACCAGAGGTTCTCCACTTAGGGGCTTTGGGACTGGCTCTTCGGGCGCAGCAGTAGTAATGTTCTCAGTTTTTTGAAGTTCGTGTCACCGGCCAACGCAGTCGTGCGACGTTTACAGTGGCCCTATCCAGAATACTCCATTCAACTCTTGCGAAACCCCATTGCCGAGTCGTAAGTCTTTACACACCAGCGCTGCTAAACACACCGCTCAACTCCGCCAGAAACAGGTAAACAGAACCTGATGAAGAAACCCCGACCTTATAACCCCAACATAGTAGGGTTCAAATAAGGAACCCTAGTAAGCACCCAACAAGGTTCCCACAGTAAACAGCGAAAATCCCGTTACTCGGCAGTGCAAGGATTGGCAAGTTTAGGGCCCTCTGGGGGCAGACTCAGGATGCAGTCAGGAACCCATGCCGGCTGCAGGTGGGGTTGTTCGAAAACCAGGTTTAAAGAATTCGCCCAAACCTGGCTTGCTGTCAAAAAAGACCTCGATCAACGCAATGATACAACCGATAGTTGATGGCAGGAGCACCGGCAGCAGCAGCGGCAGCAGTAGTAGTAGTAGTAGTAGTAGTAGTAGCAGTAGCAGTAGTAGTAGTAGTAGTAGTAGTAGTAGTAGTAGTAGTAGTAGTAGTAGTAGTAGTAGTAGTAGTAGTAGTAGTAAAGGCAGTGGCAGTGGGAATGGGAGCAGGAGCAGGAGTAGGAGCAGGAGTAGAAGCAGGAGTAGTTGGAGGAGTAGTAGTAGTAGTAGTAGTAGTAGTAGTAGTAGTAGTAGTAGTAGTAGCAGTAGTAGTAGTAGTAGTAGTCGTAGTAGTCATAGTAGTAGTCATAGTAGTAGTAGTCGTCGTCGTAGTAGTAGTAGGAGTCGTAGTAGTCGTAGTAATATTAGTCGTCGTCGTGGTAGTTGTCGTTACAGTAGTCGTACTAGTAGCAGTAGGAGTAGGAGTAGGCGTAGGACAGTTCCTCGTATTGTTTACTTTAGCAGGTTGCTGCTGCTGCAAGCATGTTTCCAGCGGTTACATCAGCTACAACCAGGAGTTCAGAATTATCCCCCGTGCACTAGTGTCGCTCCTACAGGCGCAGCCATCCGGCTACTGTCTTGAACAGCCCTTTTCCGAAATGTTGTGCCGACAGTCACGAAATACTGTCAGGCTTCTAGCCTTGCCGACCACCAAAAGCTGGACGGAAAACCGCTTAGGGTTGAGGTTTAGGGTTTGGGGGTTAGGGGTTTAGAGTTTAGGGGATTTCCCCTTAGAATATTTAGGGACCTTTCTGGGCGCATTGGTGTAGGGACTGGGGCTTTTAGGGTTTACCGTAAAGGGGGCAGGGTTCCTGAACTATGGTGTAGGGTTATAGGGTGTGGGGACGGTTTAGGGTTTAGGGTTATAGGGTTTGGGGTTCTAGGGCTGAGGGTATATAGGGGTTAGGGGTTAGAGTTTTTAGACTGCCTGGCACAGCAGTACTTGATCCAGATGGTTCAGTCCTGCGCCCTCCACATGCTTGTATATCGTAAACTATACGGCTCCTTAAGGACGAAATAAACCCTGAAAGGGTTTAAGGCTCATATACCATACAGGGATTCATAGTATATGGGTATAGGGCAACTACTTTTTAGGGTTCATTTCGTCCTTAAGGCCTGAGTTTGTAGCCTTTATCCCGCAACCCTAGTCCCCAAACCCAAGCATGTAATGCTTGCCCTGTACCTTTAACCCCAGAACGATAAACCCTAAGCACAATGCATTCATGACTAAGCCCTAGAAATCTTAAAGGCCCTAAACTCCAAGCTCTAAGCACTATACATCCCCAAGCTCTATAAACCCTGCAAGCCCTGTAAACTCTATAAACCCCAAACCTAAAACCCTACGGACTCCAGAGGAGGGTCTTGAAAAGACTGGTGGCCTTGTTGAAGGGGACGCCTGCAGGGTTTCGGGTTTACTTAAACCCCAAATACCCGACCATTCTAGGCTCCCTGATGATGACTCCCTTGATAAAGCCAGGGTCTTTAGAGTCCAGGGTTTAGGGTTTAGGGCCCTTGATTATGACTCCCGTCATAAAGCCAGGGTCTTTAGGACTTTCGGGTAGACTTGGCTTTCAACTGCGGGGCCTGAGCCCGAAGTGCGACGCCCTGCGGAACCCTAATTCTGCACCCTAACCCAGGGCTTATAGTGAACCCCAGAAAGTTGGAACATGGATGTAGGACGATTAGAGCTGGGATTTCCTATACTTTACCTTCAGGGCAAGAGGATAATGCTGTTGCAACTTTCTGGCTTCTACTGTACGGTTATGGCCTAGGGATTCGGCCTTCGGCCATAAACCCTATACCCCAATTTCTGCGCGCCGTTATAACCCACTTGGAGGTTCATGGGTAGTTATAAGTAGGGTTTATAAGTAGGATAACTATACTGATAACCCATATTAGGGGCCTACAGGGCGTAGGTCCTAAACTTTCCTAACTTCCTAAACTTTGCACAGAGATGGAAGGCGTGCCGCGCCCCAGCCGGAAGCCTCTGCCACTGGGTTCCAAGGCGCCTTGAGACTATCTTTCGTGGTTAGGGCTTTCTCGGACGTTGGAGGGGTTCGCAAGGATTCTTTACGGCTTCGTGCGAGTGCTAAAGAGTTTTGTAGATGTGTAGCTTACATGTCGCCTTCCAAAATTGTTTGGGGCTAGATTTGTGTGCCGGCTTTGATTATGGCTTCAGGTTCTTACGTTCAGGGCTTAGTTTTGTGAAAGAAGTGTTTTGGGGTACAGTAGTACTTCAAGGGGCATGTGCGCGACTATGAGTGTGTCCGACCTCGCCACGTAGGGGCCGGGGCCCATAATGTTTGCAATGAGGGGCTTTGATGTCTTCAGTTGTTGCTTGATCTCTTTTCCTGAGTCCGTGACCCTAAACTCTCAACCCTAAACCCTAAACCCTAAACACCTAAACCCTAAACCCTAGATCCTAAACCCTAAACTCTATAAACCCGAGACCGCAACCGTAAGCCCAGATTAAGGTATCCTTTTGAATCTTGTTGCAGGGCCGATGCTTGTACATTTTGTTTAGGGTTTAGGGGATATTTTCTAAACCGCGTTCAGGGCTTGGTAGGGTTTATAGGTTTAGTAGTGGTTTAGGGTTGAGGGTTTACAGGCTTAGTAGTGGTTTAGTTAAGGGTTCATAGGTTTAGTAGTGGTTTAGGGTCAAGGGTTTATAGGTTTAATTAGTAGTGGTTCAGTTAAGGGTTTATAGGTTTAGTGGGGGTTTAGGTTTAGGGACGATCTTTCCTACACGGAAGGCCCTCAAAATTTTCTTGTCTCTGCAGAGACATGAGTGCCGAGTCAGAAGTATCCAAATCTGCTTCCACGTGTAAGATTGCCAAGACGTCATTTGGTCGAGGTTTGTGGTACTCCTTGTTCGATGACATCGGACAATGCTTAGACAATGAAAAGCAGACTACCTTCGTCAGGAAGAAGACTGTTGCACATTTGTCGTCATGCATACCCTTTAACCCTAAACCCCCCCGGGTGTCGCAAGATCAAAGCCTTATATAATCCTAGCAAAAGAGCCCTTGCGCCCTATTCAATCCCGAAGCCCTATAAGCCCGATAAACCCTAAACCCTATAAACCCCATAAGCCCTACACCGTGATGAGTTGATTGCTTCGGTTTGTGCAGGTGGTCTGCAGCTACCAGATCACGCTGGCGCCTCGTCCTTCAACTACGGGGTGATGATATAAATCCTAGGGTTCCTTTAAAGGGATCTATAGGGGTACCTTTCAGGGGCTCCTTTAAGGGATCTGTAGGGGTTTAGGGTTTAGGGATATGCCATATGGGCGGTTGTGAAAATTAGGGTCCCTTTTGGGGTCCTTATTATAATACGGCACGTCATATTTAGGATACCCCAAAAGGGACCTTGATTTTGACAACTACCCATATAAATCCTGCATTACCTTAAGGACCCTAAAGTATGGGAAATATGGTAAATTTCTTATTGTGGGTAATGCAGGATTTGTATCATCAACAGTAGAGGGCAGAGGGCTTATGTTCAGCAGTCGAGAAGAGGCTGTCAGCTTCGGCGACGTTCGAAGTTGGAGCTCAGTTCATTCTACCGGCAGTTCCCACCACTGACGATAGCTCAAGCCCCACGAAATCTGCAGCAGAAACGGGTCCTTGAAACTTTATGGCTTAATTAGGGTTTGGAGTTCGATCTTGAAATGCCAGCACTACGGGAGTCCGGCCATTTTGTGCGGATACTCTGGGCCTAGCGAAATGTTAGAAGAAACCTTGCCTAGTCTTCAGGGCGATCTATCCGTACAAGCCTATATAGTGGGTTTGGTGTTTAAACACGCTGCATAAACCTTCGAGTGCTAATGAACTACAACCGGCTAAGCCATTATGTAAGTATAACACCCCACAAGACTCTAACGCACCCGATTAAGCAAATACGCCTAGAAGATCCTTGTATAGACCTCCTGCTCGCAGGGTATGAAGAATCCGCGCGCCCGAATATCTGTAGGGCGGTATGGCGTGACCCTAAATCCGAAGTACAAGGCAGTATGGGGTTGAGGGTGTTGGAGTTCAGGTTTCAAAGTCCGGGGTTCGGGGCTTAAGGTTAACCCAGAGACTCCAATATCCCTTAATTACGGAAGATTCCTGAAATTATGGTAGGATCCCTTATATGATTTAAGGTATATTCCTTACTTAAGGCATGTTGGAGTCTCTGGGGACAAGGTTCACGGAAACCAGGGCATGAGGGTTTAGCTGTGCAGGTGGCTGAAAGGGATCAGAACGGCGTTTCCATCGAACTGCCGCCGGGCGCCTTAGACGTGACGGGGCGGAGTTCTTTCATAAGTGCCATGATTGGGGTAAGGGGTTATTAAGGATCTCACGATCTGGGATCTGTAATTGGGTTATGCTTGTCTTCATCTATTATTCATCCATGTGATTGTTCTTTGCAGCTCGGGGGTTGAGGCCTTAGAGGCTCGAGGGTATGATTGTGGTTCCTTCGTGAATTCGCGCTTCTTCAGACCGTCACAACCCCAAAATCTAAGCCCCATGTTGCAAGCCCTACAAACTCTGAGCCGCAGACCGTAGACCCTACTGTACACTCCCGGGAGACTTAAAGCCCTACCAAAGCCTACTGTCTTGCAGGGCTCCTAGAAATCCCATGTCAGGGTTTGTCGTTAGGACCTGCAGAAACCGAGGTGTCGGTAGTTAACCCTAAACCCTGAACCTTAAGCCACTGTTCAGGGTTGGGGGCTTATGGAGTAGTTTAAGGCAGATCCCAACCCCGAAAAGCTTTGGGGTTCTCGTCCCAGCATCGTCATGATCTCCACGGTTTATAAGTTTCGGGTTCAGCGGACTGCCTAGACACCCCAATTGTACCCCAACCACCCACTACTAAGGACGCTAAGGCCTCTATTAAAGCGGTCTTGCACTAAGGCTCCATGTACCCTTGTAGTATATACTCAGGCCTTAAAGTACCTATATTGGGACCGCTCTAAGGCCTAAGTATCGACTATAACGGTCCATGGAGCCTTTGGGTTGGAAAGGGTTTAGGGCCTCTGCAGGACTATCTGTGTAGTTCGAGTCTCCCATGGCCAGGGGAGTGTATTGCGCATTCCCAGAGACTCCAATATCTCTTAATTAAGGAATCCCTAGTATGATTTATAAGGTATATTCCCTAATTAAGGAATACTGGGGTCTCTGGGTTCCAACTTTTCGACTCCAACTTTCAGTGTTTTAGGGTTTGTGATAAGCTCCCCTCAACCTGATTCCCTGAAGGCCCTTAACCCCAAACCCCTGAACCCCAAGCCCGTTAAACCCTTCACCCCGAACCGTAAGCCCCAAAACCCGAAAACACCCTCAAACCCTAAACTTCCCCAAACCCTACACACAAAACCCTAAACCTACCAGGTTGGAAGGTCAAGAGCGATTGACAGCCTTCGTGGGCGGGAACATCTTGCATCAAGTCGTGGAGGACGTACCTGAGATGCTTCAAATTTGAACTCTAGGGTTTAGGGGTCATAACCTACATTTTGTAGGGTCCCGAAAAGATCTAGATTCGTGTTCATAAGAAGATCTACTTGAAGCAACACCCTAAACCCTATTGTCGTGTCGGTTCATTCCCCAATCGCTTTTGACTGTTGCGGGGCAACTGTGAAAATCTCAGGGGAGGGTCAGGATTTATTACCCTGTAGGGGTGGGGTTACAGCACAAACTGTCAAGTTCTGGGTCAACCTGCTTTGCCTCTTGTGATGCGTTTGCTAAGAGTTTGGATGGCCCACATGTGCCGTCCTATAACTGTTGGAAGGGCTGTTGACACTTAGCATGTAGACCGCCCTAAAAAACCCCGAAATGCGAAACAACCTGAAACCTGCAGGAGTAGAGTACACAGGGATAAGACACATGCTGCAGTTCGCTTGCATTGTTGGATGTCTTCAGTCTTTTCTGACCCGAAGCAACTATTTGGATACACTGCTCTCACGCAAGGCTGTATATAAGGGGACTGAAGCTTCGGCTTGAAGCGGGCTTGGGGCTTCCCGGAGACTCCTATATTCCTTAAGTAAGGAATACACCTGAAATCCTATTAGGGATCCTACGATAATTTGAGGTATACTCCTTAATTAAGAGATATGGGAGTTTCTGGGTTCTCGATCACTAGTTGGACCCTAAAGAGCCTACCTTGTTAGGGATCCTTATTACACTTTCCGTATATAAGTCCCTAAAAAAGTAGGTTATTAGGGGTCAAGGTAGCTCTTAGGTTTCGTGACGCCGGAAGATGACGGTCTGGCTTATGCACGCCACATTCCCCAAATCCTCAGCGCAAAACCTCAACTTTGGCTAAACCCTAAGTCCGCAACATCTACTTGTCCCATGCCTCTTTCTCTTCCCTAGCTTAGGGTTTAGGGTTTCGCCCCCTAACCCAACGCTGCACAACGAACAACTCTAAGTGGTTCACTTCGAAAACAGGCAGGAGCAGGCTTTTGCACTGTAACCCACGAAACCGAAAGCCCTATAAACGCTGCTTAGACTCCCTGCTGTGCTGTACTTACCTTAACCTACCAAAACCTACAAAAAAGTAGGTTCCCTATAACTTCCATATTAGGGTTTATGATAAGAACCTACAAAAAAGTAGGGTTTGGTAGATTAAGGTAAGCCAAACAGCCATATGACGGAAGACTGCTGCCCCAGCTACGGGCGTCGTTCTGCAATTGGCCACAAGCCCTTGAAACCCGAAACATTGTGCCCTCGACTCTACCCCAAGGGTCCAAAGGACCGAATAATCAGGAACTCGGTTTTAGGATAGTAGTTATGTGGGTTAGGTTTTTGGAGAGTGTATGATTATTGGGTACTTGGACCCTTGGGGCTACAGACTTATGAGATATTCATGCCCTGAACTCCTTGACCTTAGGCCCTGAGCCCTCAAACCCGGGACATCGAACCTGCTTGGCAAACCTAAAGAAATCTGTTCCCCGATAGTAACTCTTATCGAACCCGGAGCTCTAAGAACCCCCAAGCTCGAAGCTGTGCAGGACCTGCTCCAGCGCTTAACGCCGGGCGGGGAAGCGCCTCAACGGCCGTGTAGGGGCCTACTTAGAGGATCATGGGACTTAGTAAGTAGGTTATAATTGGGGTTATAAGTCCCCTAAGTGGGGTTATCCTAATTATAACCTACTTATAACCTTACTTACTAAGTCCCATGAGCCTTCAAGTAATACTTACCTATACTATTTTCCGTGGTTCCTTATTACAACTACTGTATAATATACCCATATACGCTATTCTAATTAGTAAGGCCCGTATATTAGGGTTTGGGGATGTGGGTTCAATGTGTAGGGTTTGGGTGTGGAGTGCGCGTGCCTGTACCTATAAAATGCAGATTTGGTGGGAGGGGGGGAGGGGTTGGCGTGATACTTGAAGAGGCTTGAGTCTTCTTGCAAGATGCCAGCTGCAAGTACCAGCAAGACATTTCTGAGGAACTGAGGTCTTTCGCAGCGATTGCCGTGCACCATCACCCACAGCTAGACAGTACGACTACCTAAACCGGGCACCCTAAGCCCGTAAAGCCTGGACTCTGGACCCTGAACCGGTAAAGCAGTCCGAAATCCTGAGGCGGATGTGTATACTTGGATCATGGGACTTAGTAACTGCGGTTATAAAGAAGGTAACTATACTTATAAGCACTTATAACCCCACTTAAGGTACTTCTAACCTGACTTACTAAGTCCCACGATCCTCCAAGTAGTGTATGCAAGGAAGTCACATGGGCCTGTATGGACCTGTTCTGATGGTTGTAACCAAGACAGGGTCCATACACACTACTATTACGGAATTAGGCCCCCAAAACCATGGTCTTTTGGGACCTAACTCCATAATGGTGGTATCTGTGGACCCTCCGGGTAAGTATCCAAGCAGCATGCTGACTATGAGGGTTTATGGTGGAAGCCATAGGCAGCTCCTTAAAACAACAATCGTCAACCACACACTCCCTAGCTAGACCTACTAAACCCTACTTTGTAATTGGAGGTTCTTATTATCAACCTTAGTATGGGATTTATAGGGGCCCTACACAAAAGTAGGTTTTGGTAGGTTAAGGTAAAGCCCAAACACTTAAGATCAACAAAAACCATAGTCTTCAAATCCCTGAGCCCCGCTGCCCTGTGCGAGCCAAGGCAGTCACGGTGGAAGCTCCATGCGAGCGCCATGGCTCCAGCGAGAAACCCGGAAACTGCAATGGGCCCTCCTTTAACCTGGGGTTCAGGGTTTAGGGCTAACAACGACATGTTCCGGTCTTCAAGGGGTTTCCCAGGTATACAACCCTTGTAATTAGAGTGCAGTTACCTGTATTTGTCGCAGATTGCCGGGTGATGAGCACGATATCAGGTTGTCATAGGCTTTACCCTAAACCCGAATCTCTATTCTCTCTGAACTTCAAACCCTAAACCCCTGAACCCTAAACCCTGAACTCCCAAACTCTATGAGCTTTAAGCCCTACACCGCTGAACCCTCTGGCCCAGAAGCCCCCGGGGGGTTGCTTTCTGGCCACGAACGATCAACAGGTTCGGGTTGCAGAGGCTGGGAGGGTTTAGGGGTTAGGGTTTAGGGGTTTAGGGTTTAGGGTTTGGGGGTTAGGGTTTAGGGATGTCTGGGATTGTTTGGGCTTTCTGGCTTAAGTCTGTTTAGGGTTTCGGGTCAATGGGAGAGGATCTGAAATTTGGGGACGTTGACATCCCAGATACCTCCTCCTGTGATCCTACAGCTTCCCAAAACGTGCTAAGTACCTATATAGTAGGAAGTAGGATTTCTATAGATGACTATTATGGTTTGCGTAAGTATCCCCTATATAGGCAGTTAGGACCTTTTCCGATTGAACCGAAGGTATGAGGGCAACCCCTGCAAGTTCGTGATGTCCGCTCGGCTGCTGTCAATGAGCCTTGGTGTTTGGTGTTCACAGGTGCCAAGGATTAAGGGAAATTTAAGGTTTAGGGTGTAGGGTTGATGTTGGTCTAAGGTTTTGATGTGTGCTTCTAGGATGCCCAGTAGTACCCTTAGGTTCCTTATAAAGTTACCCAATACCAAAAAGAGAGGCCTTTTTATTCTTAGGTTACTGGGTATCCAAGATTACAATGACTGAAGACTGTTCCTTACTATGGGCTACTGCGGCTGCTTTTCCGCTGTCACACTAACGAAACCCTGAACCCTAAACCCTACACCCTAAACCCTAAACCCTGAACCCTACACCCTAAACCCTAAACCCTAACCCTGAACCCTAAACCCTGAACCCTACACCCTAAACCCTACACCCTGAACCCTAAACCCTACACCCTACACCCTAAACCCTAAACCCTAACCCTGAACCCTAAACCCTGAACCCTACACCCTAAACCCTACACCCTGAACCCTAAACCCTACACCCTAAACCCTAAACCCTGAACCCTACACCCTAAGCCCTAACCCTGAACCCTACACCCTAAACCCTGAACCCTAAACCCTACACCCTGAACCCTAAACCCTGAACCCGAAACCCTAACCCTGAACCCTGAACCCTACACCCTAAACCCTAAACCCTGAACCTTAAACCCTAAACCCTACACCCTAGGGTGATCGGGCTGGCGGGAGGCGCTTTCATGGATGCCAAGAGTGTTCTTCAGCTTCGTTGGGTAAACCTGGAACCTGAAGCCTCAGCACTCTGAATGACACAATCTACCTTAACCTACCAAAACCTACCAAGAACTAGGGTCCCTATAAATTCCATATTAGGGTTTATAATAAGGACCTACAAAAAAGTAGGGTTTGGTAGCTCAAGGTAAGCCCCGGTAAAAGAAAGACCCTAAAGGACGAGTTTAGGGTTTAGGCGGTTAAGGGTTTAGGGTGAGCCCCATGCAAACTGTTATCCGAAGCCGTGTGCGGGAAAGCCCGATGCGATTCAACTCAGAACCCATCCGGTGGAGCCGTCGCCGGAGCCTGCAAAGACCATCAAGTTCGACCCCCCCTTGTGGAAGCAACGTGCGGGATCCCAGTTTAGTGCTTAAAGGGCCGTATACTAGGCATCGATTTGGGATGCTTGTTTAATAAATCCAGAGGGCTGATTGTAAATATTTTTTGGGACTGTCGTAATCGAGGCTTTTGCAACACTACCACACTATGAGCTACTAGTATAGCCTAGTGCTTTGGCGATTGATGGGATTCACGGAGATTGGAGCTGGCGGGGTTCTGAATCAGGACCCTAGGGACTTCTCGGACAGTCTGGTTCAAGGTCTATAAGGTTTGGTTGTGTTGTTGGCTGAGGCGTTTAGGATTCAGGGGTTACTGTAGGGTTTAGGCTGTAGGGTTTAGCGTTGAGGGTTTAGCGTATAGGATTGTAAATTGTAAAGCTTGAAATTCAGGATTCCTGGATACGTCTGTGATGCTTTGGGGGATACTGCCCAACCCAATCAAAATAAATCCAAACTCCATACCCTTGGGATGCAAGGTTCGTAGTTTAGGATTTAGGGTTTGGTGTGTAGGATTTAGGCTTACAAAAGCCTGCATGAACACCCTAAACCCTAAACCTGATAAAGACCATGTACGTTGGGGCTCCCCCGAAGGTCAGCGCTACATTGTGCAGGCGCTGCAGGCGCGCAAGGCATCTCGGTGGATGTGATTCGGTTTAAGGCTTTACAGGGATTTAGGGTCTATTCGGTTTAGGGTTTTCGGCTTTAGGGCTTCGAGGTTTAGGGCTTTAGGGTTTAGGGTTTTGGGGATTAGGGCATTGCCTGGACTACAAACGCATGTAGACTTGTTCAGGGACTTGGATACGGAAAGTATAACAAGGATCCCTAAGGGTTTAGGGTTTAGGGTTTAGGGTTTAGGGTTTAGGGATCCCTAAAAGAGGTAGGTTCTTTAGGGTCCAGGTAGACTTTAGTCTTTCGGAGGTTTTGGGGATTTCGTAGCTTCGGATTCGAGGTTTCGGGTTCGGGGCGGTACTTAGAGTGGGGCCTTGGGGTCCTGGAGGCCCGATACTGCAAAGACCGCAGAAGCATCACCAGAGTACATTGCGGTTCGGGGTGTAAGGGTCAAGGGGTTTAGGGTTTAGGAATTTGGGATGTAAGGGGATGGGGTTTAGGTAGTACTACATAAACCCAACAACGTAAAGCCTATACCCGATAAAGTTTAGGTGCTGGAGAGCCATCATTGGTGGAGGAATGCTCGTCAATTGAGACGTTCAGCCGTGATTTTCCCGCACTCGAACTGTTTGGCTCGCGATGTACATGACCTAAAGTCCCGAAACCTGAACTCTAAGCCCGAACCCCCCCTGAATGCCCGGAACCTGAAGCCCTTAACTCTGAATCCATGAACCCCAGACCCTGATGCCGGGTAAAAACTAGAGAAGCCTGAACCACTACCTATATCATTCCTTGAGGCTCCTGTTATCAACATACGATCATATACCTCCAAAACCCTAGTCTAATTTCTAAGGCCACTCTGAAGTATTCAAACTCCTGTTATCAACTTCAGATCATATAGTTTTACACTTTTTCGGAAACCCTATCCTATTCTGTTTAGGCCACTCTTCCAGTAGACCCAAAAGCTAAGGTGTCGAGTGTCTTGGACCTGGGTTGCGGGGATGGTCAGCTGTTGGAGGCTCGGCAGGGGCAGCTTTTGGTTTAGGGTTTTAGGGTTTAGGGGCTTAGGGTTCGCGATTTTCGGTTTTTTGATTCTGGTCATTTTGAGGGCTTAGGTTTTTGTTTTAGGGTTTTCGGATTCTGCTATTTTTGTTACTTTGAAGGCATAGGTTTTTGGTTTAGGGTTTTCGGATTTTGTAATTTTGAGGGCTTACAGTAAGCACAGCCACGGTGTAGGGTTTAGGTTTAGGGTTTAGGGTAGGTCTTTTGGGTTCAGTGCTTCAGGGCTGGCTGCACCCAAGTTAGGGTTTTTGTGTCTGTGGAGTTTAAGCTACCGACCTATGGCTTTGGGGGTTTTAAGGGCGAGCCGAAAATTCCAGAAGCCCTAGGCCCTAGACCCCTAAACCCAGAATTTCGGGAAGATCCAAACAGTGGATCCCTTAATGGGGGTTCGTATAAAGTACCCTTAGTAGTATAGGGCCCCAAATTAGGGGATCTACTTTCTAGATCCTCCCGGGGCTCTGGGAATTCCTCATCCCGCAACCCTCACGCCGCGAACCCCTAGAGCCTCTAGATCCGACATCCCTACTCTCCAAACCTTGCACTTCCCTAAATCCGAAACCCTGAAACCTACAACTATGCTTTAAGGCTCCATATTACTTTTTTTTGGGTTCATGTTTTGAATTCTATAAGGTATTCCCGGACAGGAACTACTCTGGGGCCTCTGGTATAGTAACCTTTTCCATCCTTTTTCCCTGAAGCGGTTGATGACATCAATCCGGCACTACCCATAATGAGGAATATACCATAATTCCCAAAGTTTAGGGTCCTTAAGGTAATGCAGGATTTATATCAACAACAGAAAAACCCTGTAAAGGAGCCCGTTTCTGGTACCCTAAACTTAGGCTGTTGCATTTTTCGGAAAGCTGCTGCGCTGGCGGGGCTTTAGGGTTTTCAGGGTTTTAGGGTTCAGGGCTTTAGGGCTTTAGGGTTTAAGGGTTAGGTCAAGCCTAAGTTCTTTGGTCAAGGCAGTCATCCCATGGTTCACGATAGGTTGTATCACGTTTGCTTACAAAACGGCGCCTATGGACAAAACACAAAGAAACCCCATATTCTGTATGCATTCATGCACGCATGCATGTATGTATATATATATATATAATATATATATATATATATATATATATATATATATATATATATGCTCACCCCCCCCCCCATGACAGACCGTCGTGGGGAAGGGGAAGGGTGGCGTGCGTCCCCAGGCAGGATCTGTCAACGGATAGGCGACAGACACTTCTCCCAAACTCAATTCCAAAATGTTCTTTTAGATGGTTTGCAATTTTTGGAAATTTCTTCACACGCATGCAGCGCTCCTAGTCCCAATCTTAATCTCAATTCTGCTCTTCGTACCACTATTACTGTTTGTAGATCTTAATTCTTGTATCAGTGTTAGCATTAGTATTAGTTTTGTGGTAGTATTGATATTAGGATGTTTAGTATGCGTAATAGTATTCGAATTAGTATTACTCTTAGTATTAGCATTAAGTATGTGTATTGATGTTAATAGTAGTAGTCGTCGTACTAGCAATAGTTGACGCACAGCAGTAGTAGTGGTAGCATTAGTATTGGTATTGGTATTAGTATCTGCTCTATATATGACTCAAGTAAGATTACTGTGTAGTGCTTACTATGTAGTGTGTCAGCACAACCCTCATCCATACACGTGTGCTCTGTAATTCCTTTCTTGGTAGGACACCCGCGCGCCTTATCGTGCTGCTTTCTGGTCTCAGTCTTTTGGTGGTTCCAGGGATACGTTCGGAGGGCTCAAACTCGATACTCCGGAAAAAGCACGAACACGCCGGTGGCAGCGATGTTTTAAAGGGGATGGTCTGTCATGGGGGGGGGGTGACCATATATATATATATATATATAATATATATATATATATATATATATATATATATATATGTACGTATGTGCATTGTACACTATAGCCGCCTTAATGGGGGGGTCCTCATTGTTTTATAGTATAAACTGGCCCCAAAACCTTATTCTAAGTATTAAGGCCCCTACATTACATGGTTGTATGGCTGGGCTTAGTATATGATTGCATTATCGTGGTATATGAGAGTATAATTACAGTATTTTGTATACATTCGGGATCTAAGCGAACCCTTTAGACCCCTCTCAAAAGAACCCCTTAAGGAACCGTAAACCCCAAAACCCTTAATTAAACCCTTCAACCCTAAACCCTACACCCGAAGCCTTTCTGCAGGCTCTTGTGGCCGTCGGCCTGCAGCGTGTTTTGGGCCTCGACCTCTCGGAGAGCCGCATCAAGGCCCCCGGGAGGTTGACCTACGGTCTCCGAACCCTAAACCCTAAACCTGGGGGCTCCTTTATAGTAAGGATCCTAAAATATCTTACCGGTTTAAACAAAAGGAACTGCAGAGGAGACTACAGGTAGAGGCTCATACCCTACCCCTTTTTTAAAGGGCGCCTGCTTGTTAAGATAACAGATCCTAAACATAAAACTAGGTATCCGAAAAAAGGGGTAGGGCATGAGCCTCTTGGTAGTCTCCATTGTAGTTTCCTTTGGGGGCTCCTTTATAGGATCCTAAACTATATAACCTGCTTAACAAAAAGAGGAACTGCAGAGGAGTCTACAGGTAGGGTTTTAGGGTTCAGGGTTTACCCGGACCCTATAGAAGCTACCTGATCTAGGGATCCTTATTGTATTTTCCTTTTAGAAGTCCCTAAAAGTAGCGTTTAGGGATTGTAACTTCAACCGATCCTGGGGTGAACGCTTCTGCGGGTTGGTTTAGGGTTTGGCTGAAGGTATGTTTGTTTAAGCTGGCTAGGTTGTAAGGGGTTCGGACGCCAGCAAACCCACGCAACCTGCCAAGGTGTTGCCGCCCATTTGAATGTGTGTTCGGTTCTGGTGCTTCCTGCACTTGAGACCTGCGAAGCTTGGATGTAGATTTCTCTGCCGACACTAGGCCCCAAGAGGCTGACACAAACACGCACACACACACACACTCTCTCTCTCTCTCTCTCTCTCTCTCTCTCTCTCTCGTCCACTTACGTAGACTTATGCTCGCAGGCACACACAAGTACAGAAAGAGTGGAAGCAGTTCTAAACGGAGAGATGCATTGAAGCCCTTCACGCTGCCGTTCGCAGACTGCTTCTCGGCGACTGGCGGAGAAGGGTGGCGATGGGCAGCATGTTGACGTCATGCAGGCGGACTTCGTCAACGTGCCTGCAGAAGGACTTCGGGGGCGTCGAAGTCAAAGTTTAGCGTTTAGGATGGAGTCTCGGGCGAAGGTCTAGACCCAAACGGTCCGAGTAATGGTCCAGTATATGATTTGAGGGCCCAAATATCTAGTAAGAGCCTAGTATAATGGTACTTGGGTCCTTTGGGAGAGTAAATCGTGGGTCCTTCTGAACACGACCGGTTAACATCAAGCCCCATTCGTTCGAACCGCCCGCCGATCCGTCCAAACCTAGATCCTAGGAGCCTGGATTTGGTCCCTATATACCACTATTGTTCAGGGTTCGCCACTTTAACCACAACATAGTAGCATATACCCCAGAAACTCATGCATGAGGTGCTTATACTGAACCTTTCCAGGAACCCTCATATAGGAGCCCGGCGCCTTAAACCCTAAACCATGAAACCCTACACTCTAAACTGCTAAACCCTACCTGAGACAAGGAGAGCCGAAGTGGATCTCCTTTGGGGCTGGCGTGCAGGCGGTTGTTCTTTGCGAGGCCTCAGCTCGGCTTTATGGTTCAAGTCAGGGTTGGGGGGTTTCAGGGTTTAGGGCTGGGGAATGGGGGTTTAGGCTTGGGGTTTAGGAGTTTAAGGTTAAGGGTCCTTGAGGATTTATGGTTTCAGGCTGAATGCTCGTTAGTTGGTTCAAGGGGCTGAAACGAATATAACCCACTTGTGACTGAGCCCAGCTTGTGATTTTGTTTCGGCGGTATGTAGGAAGGGGCATGTGAAACTCATCATCGGGTAAGGTCGACACTTTAATGTCATGCTTACCAGCGCACACGTGCAGGGTGCTGTCAAAGTTTCAAAGTCTGTGCTTGAGGCTTTCAGGTGCCCTGAACCCTTTGAGCACCGCCCCGTGCGCCGTCTTGAGTTTGATCACACTCCTTACCTGACGAAGAGATAATCAAGATTGGCATTTGCCATGCTGAGGGAATGGAACGTCTCGAGCAACAGCCGCCGAGCTAACAGTTTTGATATGACTATTCCTAACACTGTTACTCTGACTGTTTCGGTTGCTACTGTTCGTGCCATGACTAACTGCTACTATTGAAATTGTTGTTGACGTTGCTACTGCTACTTCATGCTATGACCACAGAATCTGATTTTTGAATGCTTGTTACTTGCTATTCCGGGTACTAATCTGTTCTGCTATACTGACTACTACTGCTGCTACTACTACTACTACTACTACTACTACTACTACTACTACTACTACTACTACTACTACTACTACTACTGTGGTGCCTATTCCTACTCGTATTCCCATTCTGATCGCAATTTCGATTCCGATTTCGAATACGGCCTTTACTGCTGGAAGTAGTAGCATTGCCATCACCATTTCCACACACTCTGTGGCACCAGGGGAACACATCATTCAGTATCCCTTTTCTCATTTTGGACCCCCAAGTCATCCACAGACACACACACACACACACAACCAACCAACCAACATACACACGTGCGCACACGCACATGCATGCACACATACCTGCGTATCACTTCATTCAACACGTGCGTGGATCGTGGCTGTCCGCTGTTGTGCCAGAGCTTCATGAGAGGTCATGAGAGTCTTTCAGTTTCAAGGTCAATGCAATGTTCCAGCACGGCAAACTCTGCTTGTTTGTGTTGTCTTGTGTTGCCCTACCCGCGGGGAGCTGCTGCACCCAGCTCCTTGCACACCGCTGGCCGGGTGTGAGGGCGGAACGAGAGCCTGCTGTAACTTACGAGGCATCAAAGCCTAGATGCGAGGTCCTGTCAACAACTTTTCCTCGTATCGCGGCCTTGCATGCGAAACTTCCTTAAAGCAGGATGACCTGCTCTTTTACGAGGCATCAAAGCCTAGATGCGAGGTCCTGTCAACAACTTTTCCTCGTATCGCGGCCTTGCATGCGAAACTTCCTTAAAGCAGGATGACCTGCTCTTTTCTACAAGTAACGCCTATATGCAGGCATGTCAGCCACGCCGAGGCGCTACGTTAGAGGACGTATAGCAGCCAGCTTGCTTTGAGGCCAACGTGTCGTGCAGGACACATGACAGCAGGACGATGGGCTAATGTGCCTGCTGGGGCAAGGGCTGCTATGGCTGACCGTTCCACGGAGGGGAGGCCTCTCTTCGAAAACTACGAAAAGCAATCCAGAACCCGATGCACAGCCTCGGTTGGCAGATGGTTTGGGATTCTGGCGCAGGTCTTGGAGCACCTCCCCGAGGTTGTTATGCCGAGACTGCGCGAGACCTACATCAGCGGGTTTTGTTCTGAAGTCCTAACGCCCTGAAACCGTAAAGTCTTGAACCCAAGAGCCTTAAAATCCTTCAACTCAGGATTTGTGGCCCGGGTTTGCTTGTTGAGGTTTCTGTCCTTAAACCCCAAGCCCTAAACCGTGTAGGTTCAGGGTTTAGGGTGTAGGGCTGTCGAGGGTCTCGGGGCTCGAAGTGGCATAGGTAGGTATGTCTTCTGCATGCCGGGTTTTTGAGGTTGCATGTATTAAGGTTTGTATTATGAGGTGTCCATGCAGTGGTGAAGGTCGTTTTGTCTTTCTTTGGCTGAAACTGATCGTGGTGTTATGCTCTTTGCAGCCATATTGCTGGATCCATCTTCCACATCTGTCAAGCCGTCTTGTTGCAGCCATGGGAGGGAAGAGGTGGAGAAGAGATCGCAAGACGTCGCCAGATGCAGAGCAGGAGCCGGGTTTGCGGTTTAGGGTTTAGGGTTTGGGAGTTTGAGTTGCATTACTAGAACCCTGAAGCGCAGGCTGGACAAGTTCAGTCTGGTTTCTGGGGTGTCCAACATCTAGACTCTGCCTGGACCTGAAATTCCTTAAATAGGTTGAATCTTCAGATCTAACACAAAAATTGTTTTGTTTGACCCTTCAGCTCTGAACACAAAACCCCTTACATCCCTCATAAACCCTGCAAGAGCTCAGCAACCAGCAGCCCCACAGCCAGGAACCGGTGGAGACCGCGGCCCACGTGACCTCGGCACCCTCCGTGCCTAGCATCGACCGCAGCACAACGGAAGCCCTTCTACGGGATCTGTGGCAGCTGCCGCACGCGATGGCGACCGGACTTAAATGGTCGGGTCTTTGGGTTCCATGAAGTACCACATAGCACGCCTCCCCGCAAGAGAACACCCCGAATGAACTGTCTGTACACTCTCTCTCTCACTCTCCCTCCCTCCCTTCCTCTGTTTCTCCCGCTCTCTCTCTCTCTCTCTCTCTCTCTATTTCTGTCCTTCTTCTGAGTTCTCTATATGTCTATGTATGTAGAAATTATGTACACCTACAGATATGTTTACAGACTCCCGTACATATCCGTTTACTTAAGGACAAAACTGCATTTACATAAAGCTTGTATGTAGATGCACATATATGACACCTCAAAGACATTCGCTTTCATGCAAAGAACTCACGATTGCCTTTCTCTGTCAAACTATCTATCTGTCTATCCATCTACCCATGTATCTACCTATCTCTCTATTTCTCGGTACATACAATACTTATTGTGTATCCTGCATGTATATATATATATATATATAGATAGATTTTATATACACACGCACGTTCGTATGCATACATATATACACTTGCCCCGAGCCCCAACCCGAAGCCCTTAACCGTAAGTTCTGGCACATCCACACATCATAACTTCGAGAAGTCTCCGGCACAGGAATGCGAGGAAGCTGCGAGCCGGCCAGCACCATCGGCAAGGCTCGGACAAATGCCGGAAGCAGCACATGAGGGTTGCGGGTTTGTGGTTGAAGGTATACACATGTAAATATTGTACATATTTTTTTATGTATATGCTTGTTTCAAGTTTTATTCATTTCCATCTGTGCACGTGTATATACGTATATATATATATATATATATATATATATATACACATGTGTACATATATGTATGTATATGTATACGCGTGCGCATGAGCGTGCGTGGGTTGCAAAGTAGTTCCATTACCGTAGGGTTTAGCATTATGTCACATGACATGAATCAAACCAGGTCCACATATCTAAAATTTTCAATCAAGCTACGATATATTGGTACCCGAACGGACCGCCAACACTTGCAAAAGACTCAGTCATCAAAGCAAGGCAAACCGTACGCGAGAACAAGGGCGAACCAGTTTCGCGAACATCCTTCAAAACCAAATTCTAATAGCCCATAACACGTAAAAAGCCAAGCTCTAAATCCCTCAGCTCTGACACATACGGAGTCTGGCAGAATCTTATAATTACATCATCGACGAAAGCACTTGTCGGGAAGTTTCGTGTTAAGGGTTTAGGGTCAGTGCAACCATGAAGTATTATCTGAGTTTGGTTAGGGTGTTAGGGTTTACCTGAAGGACCAAATGACCCTTAAAAGCAGGGGCCCTATACCCATATACGATGAATCCCTATAATGGGATTTTGAACCCTGAAAGGGTTCAAGGTTTGTATACCATTATAGCTAGTATATGGGTATAGGGCCCCTACTTTGAAGGGTCATTTGGTCCTTCAGGTAAAGGGACACTAAGCGCAAGAGAACCCAGGCCTGCAAAGGCCAGCGCTGCGGGCTACCCAAAGGAGACGGCGAAGCCGATGAAGCCCGGCGACGTGCACTTCCCTGTGATGACCCCGGAGGACATGTGGGTATAGGGTGTAGGGTTTAGAAATGTGGGTTTGGGGCATAATTACAAGCCTTTAGGGCTTCAGGTTTAAACCCTAGGGTTACCAGTAGCAGCAGCAGGAGTATTAGTATTAGTAGTAGTAGTAGTAGTAGTAGTAGTGGTGGTAGTAGTAGTAGTAGCAGCAGCAGGAGTAGCAGTAGCAGTAGCAGGAGCAGCAGCAGCATGAGTAGCAGCAATAGCAAAACAGGACTTCACACCAGAGACCCACAGGACCTCAAAGAAGTGTTCAGAGAAGCACTGCGAGGAGCTGAAACCTCTCCTCGTCCCTGCCACTGCATCACCGGAGCTCCTCCGGGAGACCTTCGAGAAGTATGGAGTCTGTGTGGTGACCGGGGTCCTCAGTGCAAAGGAGCTCCCTCAGTTGCTCTAAAATATAGCGGCCTTAAGAGTTAGAATCGGGTTCCTTTGAAGGGGTCTATAAGGGATCTATACTACGGTTTTCTATTATATGGGCCTTAATGATTAGAATAGTGTTTTGGGGGCTGAATATACTATAATTATAATGAGGAGCCCCCATAATGCAGGTAATTTTTGAGGCCCCTACATTAGTTGGGCCGTCCTCGTAATCAGTTCTCGGTTTTTCATAGCATTCTCAACCAGGAAGGTGCAGCTATGTCAAAAGTGTGTGTGTGTGTGTGTGTGTATATTGTTACTGTGAAATAGGCTTAGGGAGTCCTGGAGGGTCCCAAACATCCGGTCGCGCCCGATTCTGGGATGTGAAAGAGCTCCCGTCAAGCCTGCTGCAGAAGCCTGAATAATTACGCGTACTATTCTTGAAGGTGTTCTACTAGTATACTACAACGTACCCAAAAAATCCTGTTCAATCTATTAAGACTTCTGTATTTCATGCAGAGATGCTTGAACGGCTATCATCGGCTCGCCGAAAAAAATCTCCCAGACAGCAAGTTCGAGTGCTCGGATACCTAGCGCTGCACCGTGGACATGGCCCGTAAGCTTCAAACCTGAAGGCCCGCCCAACTGACTCAGGCACCACCACCCATTTTGCTTCCACCGCTCATCAACAAAGTCCCCTCCCCCTCCCCGCCCCACCCCCCAACAATTCCATGACTTTAAACCCTAAGCCCTAAACCCTAAACCTCACGGTCACGCAAGTCGGTTCCGGTCGTAGCGAACCACTCAACCTTGAATGCTCCAATCAGCCCTGAAGGCCAAGCCATCAACCCTTATAAACCCCAAGCACTATACACGCTAAACCAGCACCGCAACGGAATCCCCAGACTCCCGAAAGGATCCAAAAAGTAGATCCATTAATAGGGGTTCCTATAAAGTACCCTTAGGAGTATAAAGTAGAGGGCCCCAAATTCGGGGATCTACTTTCTAGATCCTCGCGGGGGTCTGGGTCAAGGAGTGCTCCCTAATGGAGCAGATCTGGCTGCAAGACCTCCTCCAGATCCTGGATGAAGGAAAGACTCCAGATGATGGCGTTGCCGGACAGGAGGGCACTGCTATCACAAAGAGGGTTCTTGTAGAGTTCCTTTAAGTTTTTGAATCCCAAAAACGCCCTAAACTAAACCCTAGAACCCAAAAGCCCTAAGCCTCTATAAGCAAGGCTTAAGCTTCTAAAGCCCTAAGCTAAACCCTGAACCCCCAAAACCCTAAGCCTCTACAAGGCTTTACCATGACAATAGCAGTTTGAAGCTCCAGGAGGGATTCCACGGCTTCGGATCTAATACAGAGGCCTTATATACTAATTATCTGGGTGGTTGTCAAAATTAGGATACCTTTTTGGGTCCCTAATATGATACGGCACCTATTATTTAGGGAGGGAACCTATTTTGACAACTACCCTATATATATATATATATACCATTTGTTGAAGGGATTCCCGATTAAATGTAAAGTATAATTTACCCCAAAACCCTATTCCAATTATTAAGGTCCGTATATTACCTAGACCCTGCAGCGTAGTACCTCTGTTGACCCTGGTTTCTCATGATAGGATCCGCACAACAAGACATGTCATCCAAGAAAAGTCATTATTCTAGGGTGCAAAGAATTAGCCAATAGCCCCGAGAAGCAGGAATTAAGCATGGGCAGCCTATCAAAAGCAAACAAACACGGGTGTCAAGCACATTTTTTTAAACCCTAAACGCCTAAATCCTAAACCTTTAAACCCAAAACCCTAAACCTGAAAAAAAACCTAACTTCTAAATCCTAAAGATAAAACCCAAACTGCGAAAAAACGAAGTCCCTCTGTGCACAGGTCCTCAGCCTGAAGTTCTATAAACTCTAGACCCTAAAGTGTAAAGCCTACATCCTAAATTAGACTAGACCCTAAAGTGTGTAGAGCCGAAGTCCCTTTGTGCGCAGGTCCGGGCCTTGAAGGCCAAAGGCCTCCAAGCGTGGCCGAAGGACTGGGACGAGCCTCGGATTTGAGACCTCGGGTGCCCGAAGGGTTCTTGGAGTGTTTAAGGGTTCAGGGTTCTTATATTAAGGGCTAGGGGTTAAGGGTTGACGATTTAAGGTTTAGGGGTATGCTTGGGCAAGATTTTGATATGAGGGTTCAGGAAAGGGTTCTTCTAGTCTTATAGAGGTTCCATA